GTAACAACACTTTATTCTTCCTGCCCCAGTAACAGAGAAACTGGGGATCCCACACCAGCCAAAGTAACTTTCGGTTGCTGTGAGCTCATGCTAGGCGTGTGGGTGTGCCTATGCAAACAAGATCAGCCCCTGGAGTTCTTTTCCACACTCGCCATAATTCACCACCAGATGTCAGGGTAGAGCTCGTCCTGACTCTGCTTACATCAGGTTCGTGCTCTTCTCTCCCCCCCCCCTTAATGGTGGCATGTGAAAGCAAAAAGGGGAAAAAGTTTCTTTGAGCCATTTACTGATATATATAAAGACATCCTCATTGTTTGATTCCCGCCCCCCCGCCAGTCTGTTTTGTTTTTTTAAAAACACACGCATTAGAAATATTGGCTCCTAACTCCCCTTTTGCTCTGTGGATTGACTCTTCAGTTGCTGCTGGCCCAGCCACAGCTGAAATGGGAGGTGATGCGGAATCAGACATTGTTCATAAACTCTCCCTATTAGGGTTTGTTTGCATGTGGAAAGGTGCGGCTCTGAGCACCAGCAACAGAGTGTGCAGACGAGGTGTGGGCTTTTTTTTACCCCCAGGTCATCTACTGTGGTGGAAATGCCTGCGCATTGGCTACATTCGTGCTCACACCATTGCTGGAGCTGAAGCTGCACATGTATTAGATCAATTGTGGGGTGGGGTCGAGGGGAACTATCAAAAACGTTGAGTGTAGACATAGTCTCAAAGTCTTTTACTCTTAAGGGTCTCTCTCAATGGTTAAAGTAAATTGAAACAGGGTGGGGCGGAGGGGAGGGGAGCTGTGAGGGCGTGCTGATCCCTATGCCAAGGAGAAGAAGGGGAGCTCTTTCTCTGCACTTAGCAGGGAAGCTGTGTTCCTTCTAGCACCCTCTTAGTATAGTTCTTGCTCTCCCTCATTTCTCCTCCCACCTGCATAAGTGTAAGACTCTGCATCCCCTACGCCCTCAGCTCATGGACTCTTCAGTGTGTTTAAATGCCTGGGCCCATGCAAACAACTCAGGGGGTTATGTGTTGCATGGCTCCTATTAGAAATGAAAGATGGTGTCATCCATACATAGAAAGTTCTGGGATGCATATGATGCTCTGGGCATGTGCATTAACAGATAGTTCAGAATGTATGCCATTACCCAGTTTTTCAGGCAGTAGGGTAGTATTATAACTGAGCACCTGATAGTCATTTCAGAAATTAGACAAAGTGCTCTCTTTAAACCCTCCCATTCAGAACCAAGCAATGGAAAGGCTAGCAAGTTACCCTACATTCTGTAACAAATCAGGGTTTGTTTGGGGGCTGGTTGCAATAGTCTTTCGTTTCTAGATGCTTAGTTCCCCAAATGGTCCCACTGATGTCAAGTCCCATTGGAAAGTAACTGAAAATAGCAGAGCTGGAGAACAGTGAGGCTGCCCAGATGTAACAAGGCAGAATTTGCTTTCAGAATCTTTATTATTAATGATGATTAATGATCCAGAAAGAATCTGACTTGGCTTTCAGGTACCAGCTAGAGGCTACAGACTGACAGAATCCCCTCTTTTATTTGCAGCCTGAGCAAATCTGATGCAAAATTACTGAGCCATGATAAAAATAGCCTTGAGGCGTTGCATGTTTACACCCTTCAGAGTAGAACTGAGTTTTAATTAGAGTGCTTAGCTGCTGGTTAAGGTCCCAATCCTGAACTCTTGCTTCAGGCAAAACTCCCACTGCAGCCTATGGGAGCATGAGTATGCATTTCAGAATTGTCTGTCTGTTACCTTTTGCTTTGACTTTCAGCCAGATATTCTGTCCATGGCTCATGTGAGATGCCTCACGCCTTCCCCTGCTCTGATATTTACATCAGCCATGGCTTTAATAATGATAATACCAGGAAACTTCAGCAGCATAGTAAACTTCTTCAGGTATGGTTAATATTTCCATTTCCCCTCCCCCTCCCAGAATCTGTTTTTACATTTTTAATACATTCTCTCTACCTGCTGCCTTCAGGTTATCATTTTCTAGCTAACAATTTCTGGGGGGAGGGGGAAAGAAGAAGTGAAAGTGTGTGACTAGCAAATTTGTGGCATGTGAATGCTGCTGTGATTTATAGTAATTTACAAATGGATCCATACCTGCTATTTTCATAGATTATAAGAAGAAGCCACTGTGATCCTCTTGTCTGACACTATATAATACAGGCATAGGATTTTTCAGAATCAATTCCTGTTTGAACTAGAGCATACATAGAAAAGCATCTAATCTTTTATTTAAAAATTGCTAGTGATGGAGAATCTACCACAAACTTGGTAAATTGTTCCAATGGCTAATGATATTTTCTCCATTTTAAAGTTTTGATCACTGTAGGTGAGAAAAATGGAGTGCATGTTGATAAGTGTTGGATTAAAAGGGGCTCTTTTGTACTAAAGTTAATGATTCCTTTCCTTTTTAAGCAGTGCACTTTCTTAAAGATACATACAGTTGCTATCTGAAAAGCAAGGCTTTTATAGTCAGCTGATCTAATTCCTGAACTCAATGGTAGTAACTTTTTTTTTTTTTTGTCAGTTTTACAGCTTGGCTTTTCTATGGCACAACTATTGCTGGTCTCCTGTACTTAAAGATTAAGAAACCGGAACTGCCAAGATCATATAAGGTAAAATTTAAAAAACATTTATTTGTTGCCCAAGGAAGTGAGAATGATGTTGCACCCTTGATAGACTGTACCAAATATTCTCTTTAATCCCATCTGGCAGGATTGAACATTAGTGTACTATGGAGACAAATAGCTACCTGCAAGGAAACTGCTATAAAGCTAATTAAATATGTATTGTATATAAAAAATAAAAACAACGCTGCCCCTCACACCAGGGAAGGTTTATCTTTAGGCCTGGATCTCAGACACTGCTTCTTCTTACAAATGGGAGAGGAAAATAAAATCAGATTCTCATCTCAAAAGCTATTTTTGGCTACTCCTGGGATGGGTCACCCCCTTCTGTAGGTAAACCTGTGAGAAGAGGATCTAGGAAAAGGAGCGTTCTAAAAGGAGCTCCTGAGTCATTTTGCCATGGCTGGGGCCAGGGCCGGCTCCAGCATTTCTGCCGCCCCAAGCAAAAAAAAAAAGCCGCGATTGGCGGCGGCAATTAGAAAAAAAAAAGCCGCGATCGGCGGCGGCAGTTCAGCGGCAGGTCCTTCGCTCCTAGAGGGAGTGAGGGACCTGCCGCCCCCGAATTGCCGCAGGTGCCGCCCCTCTCCCTTGTCCGCCCCAAGCACCTGCTTGTTAAGCTGGTGCCTGGAGCCGGCCCTGGCTGGGGCACGTGTTTGCTTCCTAGGGTACTGGTTCCCCAATACAGCTTAGCTCATGGGATCCATATGAGGTCCTGTTCTGGAGTCACCTGTTCCTCTCTCCAGTGCCCCAACAGACTGCGCAGCTCCAGAGAAGATGTGTTGTAGGGCTTCTCCTGTTAGGCAGGGAACTCTTTAGAAAGGAGAGTTCCTAGGCATAGAGGGGTTCACTGAAAAAGAGAACACAGAGCAGGCTCCATTCACAATCCATTGGCTTTTCTTTGGGATAGGGGCAATACGTAGATTTTGGGGTTCTCCAGGAGGCATGGAGCAGGTTTAATATTTAAAGCTAGACTTGACAAAGCACTAGTGACGGTACAGTAGAGCATGGCCCTGCACTGGCAGGGTGATGGAAAAGTCCCAGTAAGGCACCTATCACCTGTGATTCTGTCCTGAAACTAAGACAGCGAACTCCATGTTGTTGGCTAAAGAAGAGTGAAACAGTGAAAGTGCAACCCCCTATTCAGTGTGTTTTATGTGCCTCCTGGGTCTCAGTCCACAGAGGTAATGGGCCTGTTACAATTGTTAACTTGATAGTTTGGCTCTTTAGCTCAAACTGTAGCAACTCATGTCACTAACTCCAGAGGTCCCCTGACCTTGGCTAACATGGCAGTGGCCATAGAAGGATCTGTTCTTGTGACACACCATTGTCTGCAAGAGGAACATTTTCACACCCAAAGTAAAACTAGAGTTTTTATTAGAATTTTGCCAGAAGGGTTGGGGCCCAGTTGGGAGTGAGCAGGGGCTGAGGCAGGCAGAGCGGTGCTGCTGAGCAGTAAGGCTAGGGAGATCTGTGGAGGGTCCCATCCATGCTCTCCCTATTTGTAAGGGGACTGTTGCCCCCTTACTAACACTCAGTGGGGGTGTTTTGGTTGGCTAGCTCCCAGCACTAAAAGGGGAAGGGTCGATGGCAAATCAGGAGCCTGAGACTGACAGTCCCCAGGAACAATGGGGAGAGGCCAATGCTCCAGATCAGCCTGATTGACAGGGCGGGCAGGCTAATCAGGGAGTCAGGAGGCCAGGGGGGTCCCGTCCTCCGTGTGAACTGGAATGGCCTGAGTCAGACAGAGTGGGGCCGAGCTAAGGAGAGAGCAGGAGCCTAAGCTAAGCTGCTGGGAGCAGAGCTGTAGCCCTGAAGCCAGAGCACAGCCCAGAGAGAGCAGACCTGCCCTGGGAACAGAGCTGTAGCAACCAGAGCCAGAGGGGCTAGACAAGCAGCCAGGAAGCAGGTCAGAGCTGGGAGCAGAGTCACAGAAGCAGCCTGCAGAGCAGACCCGTCCTGGAGCCAGGGCCGGCTCCAGGCACCAGCTTCTCAAGCAGGTGCTTGGGGCGGCCGGTCGGGAGAGGGGCGGCAGGTCCAGGTATTCGGCGGCAATTCGGCGGACGGTCCCTCACTCCGGCTCGGAGTGAAGGACCTCCCGCCGAATTGCCGCCGCAGATCGCGATTGCAGCCACCGTCTTTTTTTTTTTTTTGGTTTTTGGCTGCTTGGGGCGGCCAAAACCCTGGAGCTGGCCCTGCTGGGAGCAGAGCTGTAGCAACCAGAGCCAGAGAGGCCAGAGAAGCAGCCCAGGGAGCTGGAGGCAGAGGAGCAGCAGCAGCCGTGCTGAGGCAGTGTGGTGGAGCTGGGGCTGGAGCAGTCCGGAGCTGGGTGCGGTGAGCACCTGGGGAGAGCGAGGGGAACCCTGGGCAGCGGGCCCAGTGCAGGGAGACGCCTCAGCCAAGAGGCTCTGCAGGCCAGACTTGGAGGGGGATCGTAACCCTGTCAGGGCGGGGGCAACGCTGAGAAAAAGGGTCCTGCCACCTAGAGCCTGAGAGCGTGTGGCCACCGCCAGAGCAAGTGTCCAACCCGCAGCGTCTCTGCAGCACAGCCAGGGCCTGAGAAGGAGCCTGGGACCTACAAGGAACAGACTGTGAACTGCCCTGACGTTCCAGAGACACTGTTTGTAATGTTCCCTGCTACAGAGCGGGGTGATGTGTTTTCCTTTAACTTTTCCCATTTTTCCTTATTCTTTTTTAAATTAATTGTTAATTAAACAACTTGTATTTGCTTTAAATTGTATGAAATGATCAGTGGGTCAGGGAAATGCCCAGTGCAAAGAGATTACCCCAGAGTGGGGACACCCTAGCTCCTGTCCTGGGTGACCACAACAGGGTTGGGGGTCGAGACCCCCAGGAATCCTGGGCCCAGCCTTGTCGGGGTTTACGAGGACTCTGCCAGACAGGAGAGTGGAAGGGGAGTCCTCAAGGGCAGGGAGGCCTCTGGGTAAAGGAAGTGGGAGCGAGGACTCGGATCCTTTCGCTAGCTCACTTCACCGGGGTAGTGCAGAAGCCAGGAAAGTTCCCCACAATAGCGGGACCATTCCCCCGCTTACATGTTAAACAAGCACAACACCATTGCCCTTGGCAGTTTGATACCCTACTTTCAGGAAGGAATCACAGAAGTTAGAGATGGAAAAGAACAATTGGGGCACCTAACCCATCTCCCTGTCAGTGCAGGATTATTCCCTCTTGTTTATTTACAGGTTTTTGGTGAAATTTTAAATTCAATTTAATTTTAATTTAAATTTAAGTTTTGGATTAAATATTTTTAAGGCCAAACTTACAGAAATAGGCTACTTGGGCATCCACCCGTCGGTGCATGTGTAACCCCTGTCTGCTTGGTGTGGCGCTCTGTCCCTCTCTAGTGGCATCTAGACCATCTAGAGCAGGGGTTGGCAACCAGCAGAAGTGGTTTGCCGAGTCTTCCTTATGTCACTCTAATTTAAGGTTTCATGTGCCAGTAATACATTTTAACATTTTTAGAAGGTCTCTTTTAGAAGTCTATAATATATAACTAAACTATTGTTGTATGTAAAGTAAGTAAGGTTTTTAAAATGTTTAAGAAGCTTCATTTAAAATTAAATTAAAATGCAGAGCCCCCCGGACCAGTGGCCAGGACCTGGGCAGTGTGAGTGCCACTGAAAATCAGCTTGCATGCGCCTTTGGCACGCGTGCCGTAGGTTGCCTACCCCTGATCTAGAGATTAATGAGTCTGCTACAGCCTTAGGCTGTACACCAAAGCTTCAGTTGTCCCAGGTTTGATCCTGCCTGCTGACGACCAGTTCTGTCGGCATTCGGCATTGTACAAGTGATCAATCAGACACCATTATAGGATTTGTGGTTCTGTGTTCATAATCCTCAGTGTACCTAGAACATGCGCGCACAGGTTTAATGGCTGGCTGAAGAGTTTGTGCCCAAAGACCCCGTTTTGCAAGGTGCTGAGTGCTTCCTGGAAAGTGCTATTCCAGCGGGGGTGAGGGCATTCAGAACGTCACAGGGTCAGGCCCAGGATATATATGGTCCTTTACAGAGATGTTTTGCTTTCACAGGTTCCAATTATTATACCAATAATTGTGCTGATTGCATCTGTGTACCTGGTGCTGGCTCCAGTCATCGACCAACCACAGATCGAGTTCTTCTATGTCATCCTATTCATCCTTAGTGGTATCATTGTTTACTTCCCATTAGTTCATTACAAACGCCATCCCCAGTTTTTACAGAGAATCACTTTGCATCTCCAGCTGCTCCTGGAAGTTGCCCCGACTGCTAAGAACACGAACTGATTTAACATTCACTGTACTATACTGTTGGCTGCTCCTACTTATTTATTCCAATATTGAAGACCATATTTGTTTGAGATATATGTGCAAAATAGCTTGTTCATAGGGAAAGCAGAATAACTACATTAAGTAGATTGGAAGAAAATGGAACAAAAACATCTGGTAGATAGATATGGGCCAATGGAAGATTCCTTGTGTATTTTCTGGGGAGACATTCTCCCTTCCACACATACATTCTGGACCCCCTGCCATTGCTGAAGACTCCACAGTGCATCATGTATATTTCTATCCTGGCAAAGAGGAAGAGGAATTCTCATGAAGGATTCATACTTTTATTCAATCAAGGAAATAAAGTCTTATCACTGGTAACGTACCATTATCCCTGCAGTAGGCTACAGCCATGAGCCAGCTTCTCCCAGCAGGCCCTTTAAGTTACTTCTACCCAGCTCTGCCCAGACTGGCGCCACAGCCTTACAAATAAACCGTAGGGGCAGGGAGGAACCTTCCACAGCAAAACATCCTTTGCTTCCCAACCATCTCTGCTGGACTGAGGTTTTCCCAGTGCTCCTCCACAGTTCAGAGGCAGACCAGTTCAGTCTCCCTGATCTGAGAGAGAATCACCAGCAGGCAGTCCTCTGCTTACCTGTGTCTCTCCTGTTAGGAGGGTAGAGGCAGATTATATGCTTCCCTCTTTCCCCGAACTTGCCCTGATTGGCTGAGAGGGGGAGGAGGCCTGTCCTACCCTACATGACTAGGCCCCTTGAGGTCCTAAGTACTAAAGAGAACCATAGTTTAGGGGTTTTGCAGACACCAGCTATTAATTGGATATTAATAGAAATTATGGGATTAATTTCTCCCCCTCTGCCTCTGTTGGTCAGTATGTCTGTGCCTGCCACAGAACTCCTGGACCAGGGGAGCTCCCCGTAGACGTCCCCTTCTGACCTTGTCACAGTGCCTTTCTGCTGATCGTGCCAGTGCCATCCCTCTGAGTGGCGGCATCATCAGATATAGATACAGAGATGCAGGGTTTTGTTTTTTGGTTTTTTTGGTATGGTGTGATTAGGGCCTTCTGAATGTGTTGCTCTTCTAAACCTATTGGTTTAAATACTGATAAGGAGGATTTTCTTTCACTACTATTTACATAAAACAATAGAGGAGAAACAAGGAATCATTTCCCACCCTGATATGTAAACCTATTGGTTTAAATACTGGTAAGGAGGATTTTCTTTCACTACTATTTACATAAAACAATAGAGGAGAAACAAGGAATCATTTCCCACCCTGATACGTACACTTATTGTAATTATTAAACACTAATGTCAAAAGCATTCACTGTGGTTGCTACATATTACCTTGTTACATTCTCTGTTCTTATATCTTAGTGATATACAAGTAATGGAAAGCCGTGCTGTCACATGGAAAGGGCAATTGGATCACATAATCCACCAACTGTGCTGTCTCCCTCATACAACCAATGAAATTGTTGTATGCAAATTAGCTGTAGAGTAAGGGTGGCAATTGGTTGAGTTACTTCTGATATCACAATGGTATAGCACTCTTACTGTGGCTGTTCACCGCATGGGTGTAAATTTGTAAAATCAAAGTGCCTGAGAACTTAGAAATTGGACCGTAACAGACCAGGAACCCCAGGGATGATTGAACCTGGTGATATTCTAAACAAAGAGAGCTCTCAGCCATGCTTGTAGCTGTTTCCATCACTTCACACTGACTCAGACATTCTAGGCTTTCGAGTGACACACAAAGTAACAATCCTGGAATTTTATTATATAGATTCTGAGCAAGGATGGTCTTGTGGTGGGCTAGGACTCAGGAGATCTAGTTTACTTTTTGTGTACCTTGGGCAGGTCACTTGGTCTGTGCCTCAGTTCTCCAGCTGTAAAAATGGGACTAATAGTGCCTTTCTGCGTGACACTACGCCCATATTCTTCATAGAGATATTGTTAGGATATGAATATGGCATAACTAAGATATGTTTTATGCAAGATGGATCATATGAGGTATCATTGGAAAGGTTATGATTATGATTATCCTATTTGTATGCATGTATCGTTTCTGTGTCTGAAGTTAGGAATATTGACTATGTAACAATTAGAACTGTGTTTACACCTAGGGAACGCCCATCAGAAAGTAGGCAATCAGACTGGATGGGCCATTAGGGAAAACAATAGGACTTTGAAGACACCAGCGCCACTCCATATGTGGATGACTGGTTATGAAAACCAATACGCGAGTGAAAGAAAAAAGGTTCTCCCGATCTCAAAAGACCAAGTCCCAGACCCAGATCAATATACCAGTCAGATCTGACCCACAAATCATGCTGTTGCCAATCCTTTAGACTCTAAAATCTAAAGGTTTATTCATAAAAAGAAAGAAATATAGATCAGAGCTAAAATTGGTTAAATGGAATCAATTACATACAGTAATGGCAAAGTTCTTGGTTCAGGCTTGTAGCAGTGATGGCATAAACTGCAGGTTCAAATCAAGTCTCTGGAGTACATCCACAACTTGAATGGGTCATTCAGTCCTTTGTTCAGAACTTCAGTTTGTAGCAAAGCTCCTCCAAAGATAAGAAGCGGGATTGAAGCCCAAAATGGAGAAGATTCAGGTGCCTTTTATAGTCCTTTTGCCATGTGGCTTGTGCTTCCTTTGTTCCAAACACAAGCTACCCAGGACATGGAAAAACCTTAGAGTTCTGTCCATAGGCATGTCCCTGCATGCCTTGCTGAGTCACAAGGTGTATCTGCCTTCTCTCAATGGGTCAATTATACAGCTGATGGTCCTTAATGGGCCATCAAGCAGGCTAGGCAGTGCTGATGCCAAATTATCTGGGGTGTCACCCAGAAGCATAACACAGATTTAAAATACAGACAACATAGAGCCAATACTTATAACTTTAAATACAAAAACGATACATGCATACAGATTGCATAATCATAACCAGCACCTCATTTGTCCTCCTTGTCACAAACACCTCATTTGACCTCCTTTGTACAAGATTTGGTGCCACTACAGGAACTTGGTTGCAACAATGATCTATATGATCACAGTTCATGTCAATAACGTCACAGCCTGGCTGTGGAGAGACGCGGAGGGAGTTGAAAGCAATGTACAAATGTTTGGGGCACTGCACTATAGCAGCCGCAGAGGTGTCCCAGAAGGAGTTAACACAGCCCGAAGTTGTATTAGCACAGGTCTGGATTTTTGCATGGAAATCCAGGGAGTCTGCAGGTATGGTGTCACAAAGACCACAAAGTCAGGAGTAAGCGGAGACAAAGAGCCACCTGTCTGTTCCCCTTTGCAGTTAAAATAAATGGTGCAGACAGGACAAAGTCTTCATCAAACAATCTCCTCTGAAAATGTGCAAAGCAGGTTCACACAGCCAGCCATGAGAAGCATTAGCTAAAGCTTTTCTGACATTAGCAAGTTAATGCTGCCAAGTAACTGACACTGCCCACTCTGGGGTAAACCTTGGTGGCTCTCCAGAATATGATGCTTCATTTGGCTTTTCCCTGTCTCCTGCCACAGCACACACCCCACCATCCGTGTGTCTGAGGATCCTCTCTGTGGCAGAATTCTTATTGGGAAGGCTGGTATGGCATCACACCATGTGGGCGGCTTTGGCTTATGCTTAAGCCCGCCATCGGGTTTTGTTGTACAGTTGCTAGGCTTTTCAGTGTACAAGCCACAGAAGCATATGGCCCAAAGAGACTAGTCAGAAGGAAAGCGAGGGTGGAGCACAGAAAGCAGGCAGATGTGTAGGAGAAGATGAGGGCAGCGTAATTGAGATCTTTGGAAATGCAGGAACACCTTGAGTTTCACTAAGGAGAAGAGGAGAAGCCTTTGCAGAGATCCACAGAGGAGAGAAACAAAAACAGAGCCGCAAATGAACATGGCACAGCATTTTGGATGCACTGGAGGAGGGAAAGATGGAAGAGGCCAGAGAAGGATAGAATGGAGTTGAGCCAGGGATCCCAGCACGAGCTAGTGTCTCAGCAGCAGGAGGAGAGAGGAAAGGATGGATTTTGGAGCTATTGTAGAGAAAGAAGTGGCAGAATTTGGTGGGAGCCTGGCTGTAGAGAGATGAGGAAAGGAGGGAGTTGAAAGCAATGTACAAATGTTTGGGAGTTTTTTAAATGGCATCCTCTGAAAATTATTCATAGTCTTTCCATTCAGCACTGCTCTGTTTTTCATTGTTTATTGTCTGTATTACAGTAGTGTGTTGAGGCCTCAACCGAGATTGGGGCCCCAATGTGCAAGGTGCTGTACAAACACATAGTGAGAGAGAGAGTTCCTTCCCTGAAGACCTTATAGTTTCAAAAGAGATAAGACAGACAAAGTAAGTATTATTATATCAGTTTCACTGATGGGGAACTGAGGCGCAATGGGATTAATTGACATGGGAAAGGTCACACAGGAGAATATGTGGCAGAGCCATGAATTGAACCAAGAGTGCCTGAGTCTCTTAACCACAAGACCAACCTTCCTTTGGTGGGTAGTGGTATCTGGAGGTTTGTGCAGCACCATGTGCTATAAGACAGAACTGATAGTTACAGCCCCTGGAGATTCCCTAGTTATGTAGCAAAGGGCTCTGGAGTTTCCTCAGACCCTACAGAACCAGGGATGGGGCTGTTTCCTCCTGCAGGAGAGGGTGGAACTATGAGACTCTCTCACTCTTCAGAGGACTTTTTCTGGGTTAAAGGGTCAATGAGTTGACAAGGTGACTTCTTGGAAAGAGGGATGATCGAGGAAGTGGCAACCCAGTATCTTCCTAAGACCCTGAGAGGATGGGAAGAGTGTGCAATACGACTAGATGAGCTAAGCTAAATGGAAGGGATTAACAATGGAATAAAGGTGATTATCGCTGTGCAGGATTCAATGTGCCTCTCTCAAATCCCTGGGCTAGACTCAGTCATTCTGGTTCAAGAGGAATAAATTACATTTCTTTGCCCCAGCAACAGCCTAGAGAGATTCATCTTAGGAGAAACAGGTGGCTTCATACCTGTCGTCCCTCCTCCCCGCCCCCCACTTTGGTCTGCAGGCCTCATGTTCCTTACTTGTGTCTGGGCCCAACAGGCTGACAGTGGAGGCTACTGAGAGCAGGTGCTGAATCTAAGGGCTTGTCTACCCACAGAAGTTGCATCAGCTTAACTTCAACCAGTGCAAACCCTGGTGTGAACACCCCCTCTGGGTTTAGACCTGGCTTGTATTGCTTTGTAAAGCAAAGGGGCAAGCTTGCTTGACTCATATAAACCAGGTCTAACCCAATAGAAGTCACAGACAAAGTTACACCAGTTTAACTAAATCAATTTAAAAATCACACCTTCAGTTAAACCAGGGCAACTTCTGCTTTTAGCCCAAGCCTAAGTCTTCCTAATCAGCCTGGCTCCATCCCCTTCCCAGCCAGGGCAGCACACTTCTGCAGATGTGCTGGTCTCACTACAACCTCCTCCCTTGAGGGACTTTCAGCAACGGGTGCCCTGTGCCTGGATTTAGCATACATCAACCTGGGATGAACCCAGCTCAATGCTTCCTGTAGCAAGCTGCTGATGGGGGGTTGGGGGAGACCTTTCAAACATTCAGAGTCTATGGAGACAAAGTGGGATCCAGATGTCCTTAAGCTTCTTGCTGCTCTTCTGCAAGGAGTTTTCCCATAGCATTTCCCCTGGTTTCACTTAACTTAATTTCTCTTGTGTACGTTTCCCTTTCAGGTGTTCACATCTGTGCAAATTCCCTAGAGGGAACACATGGCAAATGTAATAACAAACCTGCTTATGCCATGTACAGAGAATGGCAACATTCTCCTCCTCTTCACTGAAATCTGCTGACTGAATGCCAATTGAGCCTAAGTGGTGCCCCGGGCTGCGAAGCTCCCCCATCTAACCAGGCCTACTGCACCCTTGTGAGATCAGGCCCTGCTTTGCCTTTTTACAAATTGATGAATGTGTCTGCAGCGTGTGTTCTGTGAGA